TCGATTCCTTCTGCGCGCATGTGCTGTTGTGATTTGCCCCGTAATCAATTGTCGTGCTCCATGTCATGTTGGTCTACAAGACAGACGTCCGCTTTGCCCCTCGGGGTTTTTACAACAGAAGAATCATAATAAATTACAATCGACAGCGTCGTGCTATCGACCGAGCCCAAGAAAATTCTTCGTCAATTGAGCAGACATGCTTTGCACGACATCCTGTTTCGATACGAATGACGGGTTATCATCCGATCCTCTTGAGAGCTTTGCAAGACACTCACCGTCGCACCACCGTATCTAACGGCGACGAGGTATGCACCGGCTACCGCTCCAGCGCTCAGTGTCCACCTCAGTGACCACATGAGATCTGTACGCCAACAAAGCATGATGAGCTCGCGAGGATGAGATTATGTCAAGCATGATCGCTCACCTTTGACGCTGAACGTGATGCGCTCGCCCTTCTCCCACTGCTCCCACGTCGCGTCTGCCTTTTCTTCTCTCAGCAGTTCAAACCTCGCATGAGTCGTCAACATTTGTTTCTTGCCTACGTGATACACCATCAGACTAGGAACGCCGAGTACAGTGTATTTCTCGGCCAAAAAAACCCTCGAGTAAGGTCGAAGGTACAGCGTTCCTGATTCGTCTGAGTGTGAAGTATCTTCTTCCAGGTCCGAGTCACCTGCAAGTAAGAAAGGTTCCGGTCGTTCGCTATCGGATTTGGTAGCGGGTGAGATTGAGCTTGACCCGTCATCCCATCTGCAATAGAACAGCGCATTCATCATCAGAATGCGAGTGCTCCAGCGCACACGACGAGATTGACGTACTCCATTGACAGCCATGGCTTCCCTTGCACTTGTCTCTCAAAAGATTCACGGTCAGGATCGACGGAAACGTAAACGACTTGACACTGGTGCGGCCGCCGTCTTGCAAAGTCATTGACGAGCTGTCGAGTGCAGATGACGTTAGGTGATACTGCTGGCACGTGTTAACCGAGCCTACATTGCCGTCTCACTTTGTAAGGCTCTTGTGCTGCCCCGGGCCAAGTCGAACTGGGCGACAATGGGCAACGTACGAGTCAGCAGCTGCCTACAGTTGCAATTCTCCTGGATAGATCTCACCCAAACAAGAAAAAGACGACTTTTGCGTCTTGAAATTGTTTCTGCAGATTGACTCTGTCGCCGTGGGCGTCCCTCAACCTGAGCCGACGCAACAAAGGATCCGAATGAGAGTAATACTCTCGTGCAGGTAGTGGCGGCATTTGCGACCCTTGCTTCAGTGATGACCTTCGTCGCTTGATGGTCGGTCGTGTTGACGCGTCCTGAGGTGTTGTTGTCGCCGAGGACGAGCCAGCTTGTTCGGCGTCACCGTTTGCATCCGGGGGAGGACTTGGTTTGGGTGATTCGGCAAACGACACCACCTTTGTTGATGGAGAATTTGGCGCAATGTTGTCGCCGGCCATGATTGTATCGTCTATGACCGTCAGAGCGCGAGTTCGAGGTCAGCCCGGCCTGCCGTGAGCGCGAGCCTCCTCGTTGTGCACCGGCCCCGGCCCCACACCCGACATTGATTTTTACAGCACAATATGGCTGGCGGTGGGATGTTGAACTTTTGCATACTACTCACTGAGAGTCTGGCAACAAGTTTGAATATAGCTCAGATCGGTTGACGCCGCGCAGTTGGACGCGCCAGACGAAATCTCAACTTGGACTCGTCTGTGCTCGTTCGCTCGCGCTCTCTCTCTCTCTCTTCCTCTCTTTCTTTCTCTTGTCACTCTCCTGGTCACCATTCTCTAGTCGAGACCGGAGCTTGAGCATCAGAAGCAAGACGACATGCCAGCATCATCACCACTTGACTTCGACTCTGGCTTGTCCTCTCTTCAGTTCGCCCTCACAGAGTGTGACGAACTCATACAGTCGAATAAAGTGCCCTTCTCGCCGGCGTCTCACATTCGAGAGTCACGCATTCCCCGACATGCAACATCCAAGGCACGCATGCATCACCAGTCTGCAACAATGGATTTGGCTCAACCTCGTCACGTGACTGACACTCGTCTGGCCCCGTCAACGGAAGACTCGCTGACTCAGTCAAGTCTGTCGAACGTTGACTCTTCATGGCAATCCATCGAGCCGTTACCTCAAGACAAGGAAGCAACGCCGCAAATGAACGGGCAAAGTCGAGTTCAAAACTTGGTCGGGGAGGCCGTAGAGCAATCGCCACCTCATCTGTGCACGACTTCGATGAACAGAGCACCCGACCTTTTCGATGAGCGCGAGCCAAGCCTGAGGCCTGATCAGGTCGAAAGCTGGGATGGCAGGGCAAACATTGCCAAATGGCTTCACGAGGCAAGTCCGCCCTCTGCTTGCTGCAGCGATACTGGTCTACGCGTGAGTGCCTCAGTAGCTTGTCGGCACACCAGTGTGACTGACGCATGAGTCGCGCACGATGCAGGGCGACGCTGTCTCCCTTTCCACTTCAGGCTCACACTCGCTCTCGAACGAGGATCGCGAAGACTGCTTAAGGTATGACATCGGTCAACCCTTGCTGGACGAGCCTACGTGGATCTCTGAAGACTTGCCAGTCAAAGTTGAAGACGTCACCTTTGAGTGGCCATGTGAAGATCCCGACGACAAACCCGTAATTAAAGAGCAGCGACCCGAGGTGGCACTGGTGATCAACGAAAAGCCTGATGTCGATGATGTGACTAAAGAAGAATTGGAGGGGACAGCGTGAGCTCGAGCTTGACTCAATCTAGTTTTTACCTTCACTTGACTTGAATTGAACGCTGGGTCCGCAGATCAACCAGCGCCGCTCAAGACGACATTGTCTTCTCCCTTCGCTGGGTTTTTGTCACCGCATTTGCTTCAGCTTGTCTCGCGGTGACGCTTCTCGCTCAGTGGCGACTTGGATTACTTGATATCGGTTCTGACGACATGGACACAAAACAAGGGGAACATGTGTTCTGGGAAAACGGATTGCCCCTCAATGTGTCAATTGTTCCAGTCGCGCGTGACGACGAATTTGCGCTCGCGGAAGGACCAACCTTGCATATAGGCTGGAGCTGGACCGCTGCCTTCGGGACATCCTTCTTCCTCGCGACCTGTGTGCACTCTTTGATGCGCAACAGATCTCAGAGCAAGAAACACAACCTCGTCAATCGCCGAACTCGCGAGGAGAGCCCACTACTCACTTTGACTCCGAGCTCTGTCACGAGAGCTCGAGAGCTACTAGAGTCAGGCGAGTGGTCATATCAAAAAGGAAGATGGATGGACGCGGAGAACGACTTTCGACAAATCACAGGCCTCGCTTGTGCCGCCATCGACAAGACGAATGCCTGGGAATGGCTCGGTCGCACATTATACAAGCAAAAAGACTACGAGGGGGCCAGAGCTGCTTTTGAGAGAGTCTTGATGAGAAGTAGAACGGCTGTTCCAACTGCCCGAGCTAGTCTCGGTCGAACGAAATATCGACTTGGGCTGTATAACGAAGCAGCGCGAGAACTCAGAGGCGCCATCAAACGCGACAGCAGCCTGACTTTCGCGCACGAGTATCTCGGCAAGGCTTTGTTCGCTACGAACGACGTGAAGATGGGTCAAATCCACTTGGAACAAGGAGGATGTTCCGCATGGGCTTTCCTGGGCGAGCGATTACACCTGCTTGGACAGTTGACAGCGGCGGAACGTGCTCTCAAGAAAGCACTCGAGCTCAGACACGATTATCCAGCGGCACATGCACGACTCGCTTTGGTGTATGGGGAGAGGATCAACAAGGAAAAGGCAGCAGAGCACTGGCGACACGTCATTGCTACGCGCGAGGCTGGACTCTTTGATCAAGACTTGTGTCAGAGCACACGCGAACTCTTGTGTGGCTCGCGACCGTACCTGTCGTTGATTCTGGCACTCGACGGAGACAAGGAGCAAAGACTGCGAGTGGCACAACAGGCAAGACAAAAATACCCTTCCGAGATGCTCTTGCGGATTCTCGTTCTGATATTGGAGCACCGGACGATCAAAGAAATGGGCCAAGAAGAGCAAGGAAGTCGCGCTCGAGAAAACTTGGTCGAACTAAAAAAACTTCGCATCCACCTGATTCGTCGCGTCGCCAAGCTCAAGAGCTTTGATCACGGCGGCGACCATTCTCGAGGACTGCTGGCAATTGTCGAACTGGGGCTCGCAGCCGAGGCACAAAGTGGCGCTATTGACGAGACGCCGTTATCAGGGTTGGAAGGTTCAGACGAAGCGAGGTGGATCATGCAAGTCTTTGATGTGCTCAAAAGGACGCAGTAAATCAGATGCAAACATTGAGTGTGATATGTTGAATTGAATTTATTTCTCACAATGCGCTGTCTTTGTCTCTGTCTGTGACGTGCACCCTGGGCAGAACACTGCAAACCCTCATACCATCCCGCAGGCGGGATGGTATGCATCGATCCTGACTCTAGGGTTTTCCTCCATATCTCAAAGTAGTCTCATTGCAATGCCATTGTCTAGACAAGCAAACAAATGACTAGTAGTAGAAGAAAGTTTTTTTAAAAAGGCATAACCAGCTCCCTTGCGCAGTGATTCGCGATATATCGTGCCGTCGCCCACGACTCGTTCAAAACAACGTACTCATCAATCGTGCAAGGACGCAAACGATGGTCGATCCGCAGACGCCGCACGTGGAGGACGTTTTTTTTTTTTCCTTCTTGTTCTGACCGTCGTATCAATGGAAGGAAAGGGAAAGCGAGCCTGGCAAGCATCTCTAGGCTACAGGAATGGTCGAAAAAGCGGATAAGTCTAACGGGATGAACATGTCGTCCAAATTCGAGCCGCTTGACAACATTCCGGCAAAAGATTTGTCAATTGTCCACGATTGTGTCCCCGCCATGCCCCTCAAAACCCACAGCGAGTATATTCAAGCTTAAACTTTTGGATGTGAGTACCAATTTGCGATTTTGGGCAAAAATTTTTGAGAGATGTTTTTGGGATTATATTGCGTGTCAAACCTGTTCATCCACATCCACCCAAGGCACCGTGACCGAGCGGTCTAAGGTGCCAGATTCAAGTAATACTTGCTCTACTCTAGAGTTTCCTGGTCTCGAAAGAGGCATGGGTTCGAGTCCCATCGGTGTCATTTTTTTTTCCAACATTTGATTGTTTTCTGCGACCCATTTCGCATTTCCCTCCTTTTTACTTTTATCTACGAGTTGCTTCATTGCGTTGTCACCATCTGTCTCCAGATCGACGTGCGTATATGCTACACCATCTTTTGCTTATGCACGCTCAAGCACAATGGAGCGATGATCACAGGTGGTTCCGCCTCTTTTGATCCACCCTGACCGGCTTGCGAATTTTCCTCGAATTTTCCTCCGACATCGAGCACCTGCAAGCCACATTGCTCCTCATTACCATCTGAGTACCGCCTAGCGCTCCTGTCGGGCTCGACTCTCTGGTGCGAATAGAGCGATCTCGAGGTCGAGAGAGGAATCCCAGCGTTGATTAGTTCCTTGTCTGGACAATGGCAATGCAATGAAACAACTCGTAGACAAAACACTCTGAAGAAGTCGTTTCATTTGGCAGAACGACCTCGTTAATCTTGAACTCTTTTCGTCGCAGCGTCTTCAAACCCCTCGTTGACGCCTGGTTTCGAATTTTCAGGTCGTTGCAACAGGGTAGACTGTCTACGACAATGGGAAGCAATACGTCTGCAATAAAACAGCAGCCGAAGACAGGGTCGACAAAGCCGGCAAGAACAACATATTCCACCTCGCAAAGTCTTTGTTCGTCACCGTGATCCCTCTTTGTTTCAAAATCGTCACCCAAAGCAAACCCGCCAATGAACTTGACAGGGTCCAACTGAATGCTCCAATGTTTGTCGCCATGGCTGTAGAAAAGATGGCTCCATGCAGAATACGAGGGTCTGCTACAACGTGTGGCGAGTTGACAAATCGAGGATCGCGCAAGATCTCGACCGCAAGAATTGTGGCACCAATGTTGGTTCCGAGCAGCGGGCACATAACGAAAGCGACAAAGTATCTGCGTATATTATCTCGTCAATTACATACTTTCGCACGTACAGGTGTCGACTCACCCGAGGAAAAAGATCGCGGCAGGCGGATTGATGCAAATCTTGGCGAGCCAGCCAGCAAAGATAGCGGTCCAACCTAATGTCGTCAACGCACGGCTGAGCACAAAGATGCCACCTGCAAACAGGACCAGCGAAAACGGTAGATGCGCAATCGTCCTGCTTGTCGTTGGAAATCGATTTTTGAACGCGGCAACAAACGCAGGCAAAGATTGGCGCCGTGGCGTTATTTGCGCTTGCTTGGCCCTCGGCACGACCATCTCCATTTCGTCTTGATGGTCTGGCTGTTTCCAAACCTCGCTGGCGAGGTCACGAACGAACGCAATGACGCCAGCCGGCATTGTAATCATCCAAACTTCAACGTGCAGGAAGCTCGTGCCGACCAACAAGCCAAGAGTGACTGCCATGAGACCCGAGTGGAACAGAGCACCCTTGGGATCAAGCAAAGCCGACCGAGGGTTGACGTCTGGGGGATGCAGATATTTTGGAATGTACTGCTGTCCTGCTTTCGTTGACATCGAGTCTTTCGCTCTCGGCAGAATCTTGACAAAGACCATGACGAGAAGGGCAAATCCTGCGACAGCGCTGTGGACGTTGTCAGTACGTCATCATATAGCGAGACTGTGACCGAAACGCACGTGACGACCGTCGGGAAGATGGTGTTGGCGGTAAAGCCAGTCAAAAAATTCAGGTGAAAAGCCTACTCGTATCTCAGTCAGCTATAGTATTGTGGGCTGGCTGGACAATCTGACTGACCCCAGCTATCAGAACATTTGTTGGATTGGAAGAAACGAGAGCAGCTGAAGCAATGTTGGCCGCCTGGAATTGCGAAAAGATCCACGCTGTCGGATTGGCAATGCCAGTTACTCGGGTAAAGTATCCCAAGAAAGCCGTGCCCGAGAGCACGATGGGATCATTGCCAACAAACAATCCTGAACCGAACCAGAATGAATAGAGCACTGTAAACATGGTGAAACCACTTGCGACCTTCTCGCCACCGGCCTTCTTTGGTGCCTTTGCCGTCTTTTGAGAGATCCAGAATGCAAGAGAACGCAAGCCACCGGTCGAGTCGAGTGCAGTTGAAATGTACGCCTGCCAAAGCAATTCGTCAGTCTCGTGACTTGCTCCTGCGCGGCGAGACCTACAAGCGAAAAGAACAAGACGAGGACATCATATGGTTTGACGCTGTCATCTCCGACAATACCTAGACGTAGCACAGACCTGTCGATCGTCGTCGTCATGAGCAGCAAAATGACGCCGGTCACTGGAGCTGTCCTCAAGTCGAGCACAATTTTCCACCGTGGATCTCGTTGCGCCACAATTGCGGGCTGTGCTTGTGACGGCGTGACTTGTTGCGACTCGACTTTGGCCCCAGATTCGTCGTGTGACAGGGCGGCCGTCGTCGAGTTGAACGTTTCGGTCGCCAGAGAAGGTGAGGAAGCGTTGCTGGCCAAAGGTGGATATGGGTCAAGCAGCCGCATCCACACGAGCAAGCGACGCAGTTGCAAGCTGATGACTTTCGGTATAGGGATGCTGAGGCCTTTGATCACGAGTCCCACTGCGACAGTGGCAGTGCAAGCAATGTGGTCAATGACGGCGGCTTGAAGCCTACAGAGACACACGACTTACTGACCACGATGTACACAACGAGCCCGAACCAGCTGTGCCCATTGAGACCAGCTACCATGGCTGACGAATCACCATGCAGTGGTCGACAGGACAAACCGAGACAGGTTCTTGTGCGCAGTCGAACCGACCGCGCGCAGCAGCTGATCACGTGCGACAATCGATCAAATGTTTCGTATGATCCCGGTGTCGAGACTGGTTTGGTCGTGTCTGAGCTGTCAGCTTGCTGCTGACCCTGGTAAATAATATACCCCTGAGGTGGCAGCGGATCGCTCTGGTGTGACGAGAATTCGAAGAAATCAAAAATAGTCGAATGACGTAGTCGCGCTCAAAACAAGGTGCAACTTGTCAAGACTAGATGAGAAGAATGGACTCTTCTTTGATCATGTCCATTCGGCTACTCAATCAGGGACAAGCATGGCGATTCGCTGCCCAAAACATTCAAATGTAGGCGCACGGCAGGCTGCTCAACTGGGAGGGAGCACAGCTGGAGCACTAAAACGAGGCTACAACAACACAAATTATACATGAGTACAAGACTCTAGCAGAAAAAATTACGCAGCAAGTTTGAGACATCCTCCTCTCAACCCTTCTACACCACGCTCGGCCACGCTCTTCAGCAATCTAATCTTGCTTGCTGTTGCCGCTTCTGTTCTGAGCTCGAGCAGCGTTGCCAAGTTGAATAGAACTGTCTCAGACGCATATACAGAATCAGGCATGTCATTCAACAGCTCGTAGTACACTTGAATAGCGTCTTGCAGCCTCGAGCAGAACAAGAGCACAACGGCGAGGTTGTTGCGCGCCTGCGGTGTCGGTCTTGTCAGCGTTCAGGGCTTCAAGCCAGCAGTTAAACAGAGGTGGCGCACCTCTATGTCGTGAGGTGCTTGCTTGATAATCTGACGCAATGTGTCTTGAGCCAAAGTCCAGTCTCCTCGTCCAATTTGGGCCAACACGCGAGCTTTGAGTGCCACCAAATCCGACGCGTCATCCGGCAGCGACAAAGTCTTGTCTGTTGCTGAAGCGACGTCACCAGTTGCAATGTAGAATCGAGCGAGGGCGATGTCGAGCGCTGACGATCGAGACGACTGCAACTGGTTTAGGGCGTTGGGCATGGCCTGCACACCAGACAAGGCTCAGCGTGTGCTTTCAAGTGAACGAACTGAGGATGAAAGCCGCCCTCACATGCATGTCCGTCATGGCTTGAATGAGCATGCTTGCGAGCTGATTGACACGCTTCTGCCACAGGTCGATTTGTGAGGCGTCTGTTCTGCCCTGTGCTGCCCAATATAGTGTCTTTGCAACCTTGAGAATGCGACTGATGGCAACCACTGCATCCGATCTAGAGCTCTTGAGACTGATCGCGCTTACTTGATGAACGTACAGCTCGAACGGAATGATGGGATGGAACGGCATTTCCGCAGTCGACTCTGGCAACAGGTGCCACAGGCCCAGAACTTCGGTTGAAAAATGATCAACGAGCTTGAGTCGCAACAATGAATGCAGTCGCAGAGACCAAAGCTGCAAAGACCCGTGGCTCTGTGTCAGTAAAGAAATGTCGCTCGACACCAGCAAGACAGCCTCTTACAGCGAGTAGATACGACGTCTGATCAGGCGACGCGTCAAGTATCGTGTCGTGGCAATGCTTTGCAATGGCTCGCCACTTTCGTGCAACCTATAGAATGCGACAATGAGGTTTTGTCATGTCAGCTCGTGACATTCAGATACGCCACCGGTAGTGCTGACGTACGACGAGTTCATCCAGAGTCCGACCTTGCCATGCACCACTGAGGTCTCTCGGAGGCCTGTCCTGCGGCGCCAGGTACTTGTCTACCAGAACCGTGACGGCATCCGTCTGCACGGCGAGCAAGCTCAATCAGTACCGGACAGGAGCGAGCTCGTCATGAAACAGGGGTCGCTCACGGCTGGCAGGGACGTGAAAAGTGTTGCAGACGTCAAGCCTGGAATATACAGCTCTGCATCGTCGTCCCACTGTTGCACAGCGGCGTCGTCATCAAGCGGACCGTGGGCCACTGGACCCTGCGCGGCAGCGGGTGGTTGCGTTTGCGGTTGCGATAGCGATTGCGGCAGGGTCGCACTTGTCGCCATAGCCGATCTCGGCAGGAACGCTGCCTCTTGTTGAAAGTGTGCGCTCGCTGAGGCGTAAGGCGAGTCTTTGTCGATTGGCGGTGGAGGAACGATTGGCGTCTGTACACAACGTTGTCAGCTGAAGAGTAGCTTACTCGCGAAATGTAGTGGAATCTCACGCCTTGCGCTGTCGACATCGCTTCGAGGACTGAGCCGAGGAGTCGGGCGATGTCAAAGTCAAGTCACGTGCCTCGGTCGCGTCGCGGTCGCGTCACTTTTGTCTGTCATTACCTCCCGACTGACGCGCTCCCGCTGGCGGCACCTCTGCCCACGACGTG